TTTACTTTGGGTCTCAGACTAAGGGCCATAGAGATAGAGTCGTTTCACGTCAAATAGCTGCTTATATTTCAACGAGACTCTTCTCAAAATCGGCTAAAATTCCGTGCATATGGTCTTTTTTAAATGTAATTAGATACACTGAATCTTCTTGTATGTCCAAGGAAACATTTATCGACTAGAAATTTCCTGCAACGAATTTCAGCACTACTTCAGTTGATTTACCTCATAAGCTTTTCTGCCATTTACATTCTTACTATCTCGAATAACATAATACAATATTTACAATTGCCTTTGCCTAAAGTTCACACCTAGCCACAATAGATGTCTACTACAAAGTCTACCCTTCCGTTTCATTCGCTTCCATTAATATTACCATCTACCACAAGAGAGACTATTATATGCTTTCGGTTTTACTGGATTGTAAGGGATTAATTCTACATAAAATGCACAATTATAACAGCCTTTGCCTCTTTATTTGAAGTCTCTCTAACGCCTATTCTCATTCATACTCTCTCTTTCTGTCTGTCTCCGTAAAAATTCTGTATAAACTGCCTATCAACTCGTCACTTCAGTGAGAGCATCCTTTTGAAGGAGCGTGTACGCAAACGTTGGGGTCCTGGTGCCGTGTCGCCCGATAGAGCGACCACTCCGGGCAATGAGGTGGAAGGGAGCCCCATGCGAGTGACTCCGGCGAGTCTGGACCTGAGGGGAAACCCGGAAAAGCCGGAAGATTTGAGTGCTGAGGACTTGCGAAATCGCGTCCAACTGCATGAACGTATGGAAGAATTACAAGCTGAGGTGGACCGGTTGCGAAGAATGCAAAGTTTGTCGACCGGTGTGACACCTAACCTGCACCTGCATACTCCGGACAGCATTGCTCTTCAGGTGTCTTTTCGAAACAGCTTCACCAAAACCTCCATTTATGGCGCTATAGCAACTAATTGTTGTTATTTTCGATTATAACTGTTTTTGAGACTACTCATAATTACGGAATATGAGCTTAGTCACTCTAGGTAGCCTAGGAGGATTTAAGGACTGATAAGCAAGACTTCTTATTAGGTGAGGTTGAAATTTAAGTCTCAAGAATTATTTTCGTATCAGAGTAGAGTTTTGAGACTACCAGTAAATCAGTAATATGAGGTGTATTCACCCTATTTCATCTAAGGTGATAAAGGACTGGTAGTAGAATTTTCCCACAATGAAATGAGTTGAGCTGACGTTTCTTTTGAATTTCGCATATCCTTGCTTTTCCGAAAAGTTGTTCTCATCCAGGGTGGACTTCAGTTTCAACCTCGCATCGGTCTTATCAACACCCTCAGCGGGAGTCGAGAATTATTACCATCAAATACAAGTTCGTCTCATCTACACTCCTGACACAAGCCTGAATAGTATATGCATACAAAGTTTGCTTCAAAACGATCATTTAATCTTGAATAAAAGTTCCAGTTATCCCAGGTGGCATGTGGTGATTACGAACTGATATTGTTAGGGGCACCTTCATTTTAAATGAAAGTGTATGAAGCAGAGATTCGTTGGTCGATCTAACCAGCTGAAAACGGATGAAACTCGTTGTACTGCAGCCGTTTGGCTTTTGGACGATATTCATGTTGACGCAGTCCACGAGACTTCCTTCCTCGTTTCGGGTGAAAACGTGCTGAGCTTTCGTCCATCATATAATGGACATGATCCGAGCTACGTGTCATTCTTGTAAAAGTCTTACATTAACACTCATCTGGTGAGATCGACCAACGAATCTCTTCTTCATACACTTTCATTCGAAATGAAGGTCCCTCTAACAATGTTATCTCAAGAGATTAATCGAAACCAAGTTTCTCTTCGTTAGAACTGGTAGTTGAACTTTTCTAAAGTCATAAGAAATTAAATAGAAATGTTAGGCTTATTCATATCAAAGTGGTAAATTTCAACTGCCAGTACTTCATTGCCTTATGCCAAGGGTTACATCTCATATATATGATCTTCTGGTAGTCTCAAAAAGCCATCAACGTAGTCATAGACAATTCCACCACAAAATATGATATGAGATAATGTCTGGCCTTCCTACAATTTCACATATATCCTGTAGCCAACGTGCACCCTGTCAATGTGGTTACTGTAAGCTCTACTCATATGAGTATGGTACAATTTAACTACCAATTCCTTTATCATCTTAAAGAAAATAGGGTCTACTAATAGTCTCGAAAACGAATAATAAATTTTAATTGTCAGTCCTTCACTGTCTTATGCGGCCTTGGATTACGGCAACTTGTATAAGATTGACTTGTCTTGAAACTCACATCTGTCCTGTGACCCACTGGCATCCATGGTTGTGTGGTGTTGTGTTAACTGGCTACCATATGACGAGAACTGCAAGGTTTCGACCCATGCTTGGGGTGGTGATGAGGCCTAGCGAGGTCGAACCTACTCTCCTCACTTAGAAGGCTTCTCACGAGGCAAGCAGAAGGAAATACAATGATATTGTGATGGAAAAATCCCACTATCAAACATTA